TATATATTTTGTAAATCTGTATTTGTTTTATATAAAACAACATATACAGTACACATAGTCACATATGTATGTAATTACATATTTACATATATATAAATAGATAACAAAAAAAGCAAACGGAAATGTGTTCTACGTTTATTTACGTTAAACGTTCATCTACTGCTTGGAGGCAGTGCACCCACCAAAGTTCGGTACTAACGTTTCTATATATGCTTTCTATGGCGTTTTATTAATCGGATGATATGCCATAGTTCCATTGGTAGTTGAGTGCTTTATACTTTTCGGATTATGGACGATATGTTTTGTATTTATGCATATATTGCACATCGCGGAATGCGGAGTGTGGACGATATTGTATGTATTTTATATGTATGTATAAGCCAAAGTGCCGCACTAAACACGGAATGGAAATGTCTATATACCACGTTAGCAGGAAATAAGAAATAAGAATCTAGCTGTGCCACTGTGGCATGCTGTGAATTTGGTTGTTTTGTCCCCATCGACTGAATGCAGTTGTGTATGTGTGAAAATAATTGTGTACACATAAATTTACACACAGAACTCCTATATTTGTACTAAAAATAGCAACATTATAATATAAGATGGCGACAAGAAGTAAAACGCGTCAATTTATACAACTTAGGCAAACATGCTCACGTAAAAGAGGAGGAAAAGGGAGAGATACCACTATTGTAACGGTACCGGGAAGGCAGAATGAGGATGTTATACCGCTGGTGGGTGGTGAAAACTCATCTGACCTGGACCTGGAAAGTGCACACCAGCCAGGACTGCCACCAGGTGTGTTGGTTGTGATATTTAACATGTTAGATTAAGCTATGGGTCAATTTAAAACAAACAATTGGATAACACAATGTACGTAGCCATATGTATTCAAGTATGACTTCAAGTATATAACGAAGTATATAACGAATGAAATTATAAGTGGAAGTATACATATCTATACGTACGCGCGCAAACAATCGTCTACGGGATAATATATATATATATATATATATATAAATGTCCCTACCATACTATGTGTATATACGAATGTACATATATACGTATGAATTTATAAATTGATGTATAAATGTATCGATGTAGCTATCTAATTATGTATATATGTATCTATTCATGTATGTATATACTTCTGTATGTATGTGTGTACGTATATATATATATATACACACACACACACACA